TAGGAGCATGCCCAGGGTTGTCAGGAATGCATACAGGCCTGCGGGGGTCATACACACTACTGACTCACATTATGAGTTGCTGTGATAAAATTCACACAAGTTGGATCAGCCTGTGATTTTGAATCCAGCCCTCAGTGGCTTGATGATTTTGGTTTCCATTGACCATTGTTACGTCATTTTGTTCATGACCTGAAGATCAAGATCTGATGTATGATTTAAGTGTTCCCTTTTTGTTTTTAAGCAGTGTATTATCAGCAAAATGTACTTAAAGTATCTATGGTTAAAGTATTCATTGTGCAGGACAATGTCCCTGTCAGTGTTTAACTATTATATATGATGTTTTTGGATTAATATTACTGCTGTATTAATGCGTATGATGCATTTTACTGCTGTAGATGTTTAAGGTTTTACTAATTTTAACTCCTTTATATATCAGTGAGTAGTTTCAGCTACAGCAATGCATTGTATTCTGTAAGATCATCATATGTTTGTCATGTGGTTCCCCCTTGAAAACCACATATCTCTAAAAAGTATGTTTTTCATAGTGTCAGAGAAAAGGCCCTATTTTTGGCTTTGTGACAATGCATTTTCCAGCTGATCCAAAAGGGGTTTTAAAAAGTTTATTTAAGCTCGAGAAGTAGTAGAATTTTCTGAACCCATAAAGGAATACTTCATTCTTCAGTCTACCACAAACATTCAACATTAACACATCTGGAGATACACTGTTTTAAATGGACATTCCACCACTGCACGTATGTATAATCTGCTCTATGTTCTGCCTAAAAATATTCTATATTTCCATTTGCAGACAAGTCAACACTAATGATATTGCCTTTACATTGTGGAAAAAAGCGTGAAATAGGATGTGCGCCCTGCATGTGGTCTGTCAGTGACCAGGTTACATCCCTCCTGAGTGGCCTGTGCTTTCTACAGGCGCTTTCTACGAGGGCTGAGAAGTGTTTCCAGTCATCATGAAAAGGGAAGCGCTCCATTAGAGCATGTATCGCTTCCTTATTCCTGACACATGTATACTGAGCTGTAGCTGCATGAGCCATATTTCTTCAACAGTCAGTGGCAGACTTATGCATAAGCCTTCCTGTGTCTCAGTTCTTCGTGAACAGTCTGCGGTCAGGACATGGTCGGACAATAAAATGCAATTTTACCCCAGAAGCAAGTAAAGAGAAGTGGGCTTAGTGACCTTTATACATGCACACAGAGAGTACCTGACATTTAGTGTTCCCCAAAGAGGGCGAAGAAAATAAATATGTCACAGTTATGCTTTCCTGTGCAGTGAAGCTAGGAAACACTCATGGCAGAAAAAAGGAAGCAAGGCCTCATTTGGTGCAAGCTGAATAGAGTTTTTCTGAAAATATAGATGAAAACGTATGTCATGGAAACAAGGGAGTCCCCACTGCACTCCCATTCTCTATTAATATTCTGTCTCATTCAAACACATGATACAACCACGCACCTGCAGGATTCTGACTCTGAAAGTCCCACATTACACTTCAACACTGCACATTTGTTATAAATGATGGTGCATTCACTGGTGGATTCTTTTGTCTAACTTCGCTGGAACATGGTTGGTTTCATGGGACACTATTTTTGCAAGCAATACCTCTTAAAAGTACAGGTCAGAGCAGGTGGGGGCTAAATGCCTCTGCCTCCGTACTAACAGTCACAAGTTGTCATCTGAAGTGAAACTACTAAGAAAATGTTCAGCCTTTGATCTTATCATTAATATATGAAAATGCAGTGGCATGTTGTAATGTATCCTGGAACCACACAGAGAAAATCATGCAGCAAAAGTATAAACATGATAAAGTGCCCTTATGAATGTTACTTTTGATTCCTTTCCTGTATAAATAAATAAATGAAATGAAATGAAAGGTGTGGTGGCGAAAAGGCCTAGACACACTTGACCCTTCAGGTCAAGTTACTTGCGAAGCATGTTTACTAAAATTGAGCAACCCTGAATGGTCCCACTCTGGGGAGGTCCTAGAACAAGGTGACCTGGCAAACATTGTGATGGTGAAACATTGTGATGGGAAACAGATGTCGTTGAGATACAGTGCACAAATGGGTGCCCCTCCACTAGAGAAATCATAATTAAGTGCCTTTAGTGTGGCCTTAAAATGGAGAAAACATGGTCCAATGTCATATAAGCCCCATATGTTAGAAAACTTGCCATGCATTGGTGCCCCACTGCATGCAGCTGGTACCCTTCTACTTTTTTTGGCCTCTGCCCCTCAGACAGCCTCAGTCCTCAATTACCTAGAACCTTTGTAATATAAACCACCTTTTTGAAGTATTTTAAAGGTCTAGTGTGTAGGACAGTGTAGAGGTGAGTTTGCAGATTGCAACCAACAAAAAAACTTCTCCCGTATGCCAAGTGTGTAGGAGAACTACGGTAGCTGATGAAAAACCACCTAGTTCCTTGAATGTCTACTTGAGACTGGCTCAAGAAGTGATCCAATCCCCATAGACCCCCATGTTAAAATGTTCAACTTTACAGCAGAAATATGTTTACAGCCTGGTACAAAAAAGGTTTCAGTCTCTATTGCTAATTTCAATATTCACAGCAACTGTACAGGGGTGAATTTTGATGTTATGCATATTTAAGAGCAGCGCTGCTTGAGTGACAGTGCAAGGTGTCCCTACAGTCTCTGAGTCAGATCTACCACTCGCTCCTCCACAGCTGCACATCTCGCCTACATATGATCAGTTCTGGCTCCCAAAACCAAGATGGCGACGACCGATATGCTGAACTTAGAGGCTTCAAAACTGCACTCCATAGACCAATGGGTGACGTCACAGTAGCTATGTCCATCATTTTATACAGTCTATGGCAAAATCCTGGAAATGCAAATGCCCCTATTCAGAGCCAGTGTTTGTTTGTCCTTTACGGGCTACTGTGGAACAACATTGCGGCCTCCGTGGAAGAAGGCCCGCTCCGTATGTAGATATAACTGGCTCATTCTAAGTTAAGAAAAACACAACAATTCTTGTTTCAAGTAATTATACAAAAATGAAAACATAGTTGTAAATATTGTGTTCAGTTTTTGCCAACATATCACCTTAAATCCTCAACACTGGACCTTTAACTATTGACCTGATTGTGCCCCGGAGGCACAATCAGTGCCCAACTTCCTCCATCAATCCATCCAGCAATTTCAAGAGGGTTTGTCCACGAAGGTGCAGAGCAATCCCAGGCCTGTACAGTAAAATCAGACACCAGCTAACTGGGAGGGGCACAAGACTGGAGGTTACTGGCAGATCTGAATCAGTGGCTACGCTCCCTATCTGAGATCGCTTCTACCAACTTCAGACCAGACCTTGTGCTTTGGTCCTCCTCACTGTGCCTCATCTACATCATTGAGCCCACTGCGCCCTGGGAGGATGCTGTGGATGAGGCCTGCGAGCGCAAGAGCCTTAAGTACGCCAAGCTGGCAGCTGATGCTGAGCAACACGGCTGGAAAGCAAAGGTTTGCCCAGTTGAAGTGGGCTGCAGAGGCTTTGTAGGGAGGTCAACTGCCAGACTGCTTAAAGAAATTGGAATTTGAGGCCAAGCCGAATGTCAGGTCATCAAAGCCATCTCAAGCACAGCCTAACAGGCAGCCCAGTGGCTATGGATTAAGAGTAAAGGTGCCACTTGGGCCCCAAAACACCACTCACACATCAGGGTTCGAGAGACTGAAAGCAGAGGGGGTGCCCACCTGGGACGCCAGGTGTTACCAGTGAGCCCTCTGGAAGTGTCATCGAAACACCAGTGAAGGAGGGTACCCACCTGATGATCCTAATTAAGCTTTTACCCCCCCTAAACCCCCATCCCCCCCAAACTCTAACCCACAATCGCAAGTATGTGCAACAACAATCAACCTCCACCTTGATTAATAAAGTTAGGTAAGATTTTCTCCTGTTAGTTTCTTCTCTCTTCTCTCCTCTCTTCCCTCATCAAAATGAGGGAGTAGGGGGAGGTAGGGTGTAGAGGAGAGCTCATTACACACAGATGTCTCTCATTAGCTCTGCCCTCCTTCTTACTTTTCTATCCATCTAAACCTTTGGCTCCCACTCGGACCCCCAGACAGCACTATTACTCCCGCTCATAGTCTGAGTATGTACGTCAGGGAGTGTAACATCTAGTCCTAAACTGAACTGAACACAATTCAAGAAATACTGTCACTCTTTTTTACAGTACCACATTATGTACATGAAGTGATCACATCACAAGTTCTCTTTCTGCTTGTTCCAATCTATATTGGGTGACATAATAAAGCCTTCTTATTCTTATGGATGCACCACAACATTTTATAATCTGTGACAGTAATGACATCATAATTTGGCCTCACACCTGCATGTCTAAATATACCATGGGATTTTTAATTCATTTATAAATAAGTACTTGGCAGCACTGAAGGCCCACGTAGCCCAAGCGTGGGTGAACCGTTTTTAAACTATAGGACATACAGTAGGCTTGTCATCACCCTCTGGAAAAACAAGGTTTGATTTAGATGGATCACAATGCAATGAAGTTATTTGAGGATTTAATATAGCCTATCAATCACAACATGGGGGAGTGTAACATTATCAGCAGGTAGTCTACAGTGTCCCTCTGCATTACACTCAAACACATGTTTTTAATGGTGTATTAAATGTCTATGTCTCCAAGCGTATGTGGGCGACAACACCTACGAGAAAATAGACTATGATTTCGGTAGGTGGATGATGAAATGCGGATGACGCAATGACGCAAGGAAAATTACATGAGACGCGCTCAGCATAATTACTTTCACTTTCTCCCGAGTCCGATAGATAAATTCCACTTTTCTATCCAACCCCTTTCCTGCATCCGGTCAGAGGAGGGTGTCTTCAATTTCTCAACCGTGAGCGGCTGGATCGTCTGTGCCCTGTTCTGTGTGAGGGAGTGACGTAATGCCTGTCCCTGAATCAAACTCACCCGTTCGTGCCTCGGAAATGCCAAAACAGCTGCGTCCTCCCACTGGGGAGGAGTCAGCCAGACCTCATATGTTGTCGCTGGGTTTGCTCCTATTAATTCAGCCAAGGTGCTCCGAGGATCCAGAACAACAACATCTCTGCAGAGAGCAACATTTCTACTGAGAAATATGCAAAGGTAAGGAAGACAAACATCCTCATGTCTTTCCCTCCTTACTTATTTAGGATATTATCATCCTGTTCTTTTTGCTGTGACATGACTGTGTGTGTTATGGAGTAGAATGGAAAACATGCTGTTTATTTTGCTGAATAAGTTTAGTAAAGTGTGCATGTTGCTGAATATTAATTGGACAAACCATGTTGGGTTACAGGCTTTCTTTATGACTGTGTGTATAAGAACAGAAAAATACTTAACAATGTATGCTGACTGCTTTCACCACAATGCTGTGTCTCGTGTGTGTGTGTGTGTGTGTGTGTGTGTGGTTAAGGCTCTTGTGTCTAGTTCCTCTCTCTGCTCTTGTGACACGTTTGACTCAAGAAGAACACTGATCTATCATGTTTCCTCTCAGCCCTCCAAAGCCCCAGTTCGCCAGCTGGCTCATAGAGCAGGTGGAGACACGCCAGTACACGGGCCTGTGCTATGTGGGCCGAAACAAGTTCAGAGTCCCCTGGAAGCACAACTCCAGAAGGGACTGCAGTGATGAGGACAGCAAGATATTCCGGGTAGGTCCAAACTCTGTTGATCTTGTCATGGCGATACTGGTGTTATCTGGTACAACAGCATGATTAGATAAAATGTTGATGGCTTTGTTGACATCCATCTGACACATTTATAGTGATGCTGTTTGTATTTTTGGGTCAGTGTTGTGCCAGTAGCACTCCTCGTAGCCGGTTTCTGAGTCAGATGACTGACAGACTGACAGGTTATTAAGGATTCCTTCAAAAACTGGCAGAGTGCTGTTGTATGGCAGGTGCTGACAGAGGCAATTATAGCATGCCAACAATAGTGGTGCACTTCCACTTCCCTTGATTCTAAGTAGAGACACAGTAACAAAACCACAGTGTAAGTAGTTAAAAATACTCTGTTACAAGGGAAAAACCATAAGCAAATTGGGCAATGTAATATTTTGAAATTTTTGTACTATTTAAGCACTTAGTGTGAAATACTTGCAAATTCTAGGTGTTTTCCCAAATGCAATTAAAGGGAAAGTGTGTGAGATTTAGGGGGGTTTAGTGGCATCTAGTGGTGAAGATTGCAAAGTGTAACCAGCTCAAACTCCTCCTGGTTAGAATTCCTTCAGTGTTCGTTGTTCAGGAGGTTTTCTTTCAAAGGTCTTTTTTATTACTTTGCAATAATGGACAAAACAGTAACTGTACAATTTAAGACTTTTTCCCCCAAACAACATTCCCCCAAATCCCAACAGGGGGTTCAGGAGGTTTTTACCGGGAGCCAAATTATCCCACAGAGGTCTCCTGCTCTCCCAAACAAACGTACCAGGTGATTAAAACTGGTAAAAACACTGAATAAAGCAGTTTCATGTTACAAATCAGTGTTTCTCCAGTGCAGTTTGGCATATCGGAGACAGGCCGCTAGCCTAGCACCTGCTAATGTGCGCTCACCTTTTCCGTCTAATAGCTAAAGATCCAGACATTCAGGGGATTTTTACCAGGAGTCAAATTATTTGCAGAGGTCTCCTCCCCAGAAACAAACAGACCAGATGATTCAATCCAGTAAAAACACAGAATAATGCAGGGTCACATTAGCATTAGCAAAAAATTAGCATTTTTCCAACACTAATCAAGGAGGGGCTTCTAACAAGAATGGCCCTATTAAGCCAGTGTTTAATTTGTCCATTCTGGGCTACTGTAGAAACATGGTGGTACAACATGGCAATCTCCATAGATGAGGATCCCCTCCCTATGTAGCTATAAACAGCTTACTGCAAGTAACAAAAACGTAGTTACTTATTTTCAGGTGATAATACACTTTAGAAAACATACTTATATTACATTTCGGCCAATGTATGCTCCTAAATCTTACACACTGAACCTTTAATGCATTTATGATGCAACATCATAATTTGTGTTTGTCAAGTAATCTAAATTCAGAATTCAGTTTCAAAGTGATGGCCGATTCTTGTATGGTGTCTTAATTTTTAATGCAGGACAGCTCCTTTTTGTTTACATGTGCATGTTAATGGAGTGTAACTTATCTTTGTATGGTTCACAGGCGTGGGCGGTGGCCAGCGGGAAAATCAATGAGTTCCCCACCGATAAGGCCAGGTGGAAAACCAACTTCCGATGCGCTCTCAACAATCTCTCTGTGCGCTTCAAGATGATAAAAGATAACTCCAAGAATTCTGACGACCCTCACAAAATCTACGAGATCATCAACACCGGATGTAAGATAGTAGCCCTCTCAATCCAAGCCTCCTACTTCCACCATTTTGAGTTTGAATGCAGTTAATGTTGAATTTGTTTTGTTTATCTGCAGACAACCAAGAAAGACTGCCAGACTCCCAGGAAGATTCTGACATGGTCCCAGATATCTACAGCTCTCCCATAGAGTACTTACCCTCAGGAAATGAGGTGCAGTATTACCTGGAGTGCACTTTCACTTCTGTTTTTTGGTTTAATATCAAAAGGATTGTGTTTGCTGCCCTTCAGTACTTACTAAATGCCTTTTTCCTCGAAACAGCACAATCTGCTCAACAATTTCATGGCCTTGGATCTTGGCAACCAGCAAGCAGGTACGGTGTCTTAAGCAAAGGGGAAATATTGTATGTGTCATAGACGAACATCCTCTCCACCTGTTTGTGATTTTACGTGTTTCATAATAAGGGTCAAATGTACTTTAATCTGCTTTTTATTGTCTGTAATAGAGAAGCAACCGTGGGCAGAGGGCTATGGTCAGCACATTCCAGCTGCCCTGCCCTATGTAGCAGCTGAGAACCACCCACAGCTTCTACCAGATCAGCCTTCCTACTGTGAGGGTATGTGCAGTCCAAATATAATCAAATGAGTTTATTGAAATGAAAAGCCACACCAGGAAGAAATGTTTCCAATTGATTTGATCATGTTTTTTTTTTCTTTTACAGTAAATCCTCCACCAGTCATCGGTTCACCTGTGCAGCCATCTATATATGACCTGGAGATCTCCATCCACTACAGGAAGAAAGAAATGCTAAAGACCACTTTGTCCACTGCCCTTCTCCAGCTCCACTATCAGCAGGAGGCCCCTGAGCTCAATGCCCATCGCCTCTGCTTCCCCTCCACTGACGGTCTGCTGGACCAGAAACAGGTACATGATGACATCAGCTTGAAATTTTGTGCAACTTAATTAAAGACGAACACACCATTCACAACTGGAAAAACACCTGTTAAGAGTCGATCTGACTCTCTTTGGCTAGAGTATATTTTCTGCAGTTGACAGTTTTGTTAGCAGCCTCCCATTTCACTGTATTTGCTGGCACGTTATTACCTTTCGTGCCGTGTTACCAGCACTTGTGGAGCAAAGACCCAACAAAATGGGAGACTCATTCATAAAAACAGTGCTCATTAGCACTACTAGTGGTCAAAAACTTTACAGGGTACCTTTAAAGGAGCAGGCTGTAGGATTTAGTGGCATCTTGATCAGATAGCAACCAACTGAATACCTTACATTAGGGCTGGACAATTAATCGAATTTTAATCATGATTTCGATTTTGGCTTCTCACGATCATAAAAACATTATAATCGAAGAAAAATGATTAATGCGCAGCACGGCGTCGCGTGTATGTAAGTTCCTGTGCTGGAAAAGCACTGTGAATGCACCTGTGTTACGTGCAGCAGCAGCAGCAAGCATGTGACGTGTGTGGATCAATAATATGTGGAGCGAGCGATTGAGAACATGGCAGAAAGGCAGCCTTTGGTTGAGAAGAAAGGTAGGCTNCAGCAGCAAGCATGTGACGTGTGTGGATCAATAATATGTGGAGCGAGCGATTGAGAACATGGCAGAAAGGCAGCCTTTGGTTGAGAAGAAAGGTAGGCTTCAGTCATCTGGAAACATTTTGGCTTCAAGTTGACGGATGTCAAGCAAAAGAAATTGTTTGCAAAGTTTGTAGCGCCGTCGTGTCTGCCCCCCAAGGCAACACAACCAACTTATAATTGTGTTTATTAATCCTGATTTAAATATCAATCAAAATAATTGTGATTATTATTTTTGCCATAATCGTCCAGCTCTACCTTACATAGGCCTTCAGGTAATTATGCAACAACTCAAAAAGCACTCTGCAGGCCATTTTGGTTTGTCTGTTCTGGGCTACTGTAGAAACATGGCAGTGAGACATGGCATAAACCTATGTAGATATGAAGGGCTCATTCTAAGCTAAAGAAAACATCAACATAAACCTCATGCCCGAACAAGCCCTGCATCCTACACACTGCTCCTTTAAGTGTATATGCCAGTCTAATTTTAATTTTAAGAAAGTTCACCATGTGACGTGTTAATTTGAGCATTAAGTGGAGGAACAAGTTTTTTAAAAAATGCACACGGGCTGTAAAAATATCAAACACTTTCAGTTTGAAAGAGAGCTGTAAAGAGTTTGTTGTTTTCTCCTTCACAGAGCTCAGATTTTGTGTTGTGCAAGCACCTCTTTTGACACTCAACACTTAGAACTGGCTTTCATTAAGAAACAGAAATTCATTACAGGAAGGAGGAAATATTATGAAATATTTAAGGCTAGAATTTTCCCTTATGTTTTTCTCATCACAACTTTCTTTACACTAGGTTGAATACACCAACCGCATCCTTAGCAGCATCCAGAGAGGTCTGTTCCTCAGGGTACAAGAGACTGGTATCTACGCCTGGAGGCAGGACAGGTGCCATGTGTTTGCCAGCACCAGTGACCCCAGTGCGGCTCACCCAGCCCCAGCCAAGCTGCCACAGAACACCATGGTGGAGCTCCTCAGCTTTGAGAAATATGTGAATGGTAGGTGTGGATTTTTTTTTATTACTACTTATTACTCATCACTATTGTTATATTTTATGTAAAGCCTGCTTTGCATTTTCAATTTGTAATAAAAGGTCCCATGTTTTTGTTTCAGAGCTGAAGCAGTTTAGAGAGAACAATGGCAGCTCTCCTAACTACACCATCAACATGTGCTTCGGAGAGAGGTTTCCTGATGGAAAACCTTTGGAGAAGAAGCTCATTGTAGTCAAGGTAACAGTCTTTTGTTTTTCCTGAGTTTCACCTCAAAGACACATGTAGTATTTAAAATCACCTCCCTTCAGTTTAAGTTTTTAAGTGCTAAACAACGTCTCAAATGTCACTCTGCCCCTATAGGTGGTCCCTCTGATCTGTCGACACTTTCACGAGATGGCCCAGATGGAGGGGGCTTCGTCACTTCACAGCGCTAACGTCAGCCTACAGATCTCACACAACAGCCTGTATGACCTTATTAACTCTGTCTTTAGCCTGCCGACAGCTGAGGAGTCAGCACGGGCTGCTGAGTCTTTTCTACCTCAGATCTGAATTTTTTTCTGTCACTCAACCCTACTGGGGTCTATCTTAACTCCCTATGGGACACACTCCCTGCTTTTACCCAAAGCTTTGCTGACAAGTAGCCAAACTGGTGACCTGTTGAATGTGTCAGAGTAGCTGAAGCAGGAGTACATATAATTTAATCGGTCATTGCAATCTGTGCAATTACTGATAAGCTGTAACTCCACCCTCCTGCTTTGCTTCATCTCCTGTTAACTATTAGTGTCACATTAGTCACCAACTTTAGGCAAAAAGTGACGTTCTTATCACTACATAAATAGAAATGAACTCCTCCACTGTTAGACTGTTATTTTACTCAAAGGCCAATGGCCTTGCCTTCAAACAAACTTGTATATTATTGCTGTAAATGTCAAATCATCTCTTAATGAAATGTGTCCTTTCCAATTGATATATGTATGTTGTGACCAAATGATGCCTAACATGATGGAAAATCCTGTTAAACGTGATGTTTTTGCTCTTTGCTCACGTATGTGAGCTTTTAAAATGCAAATTAAAGCTAAATGATGTATGTGACAGGGTTTTTATTATGTGTCTTGCAGCCATTGACTGCAGTATATCCATGTTTGTGGTGGACTGTTTTGCACTTCAGAATTTGTTCACCTTTTTTTATCCTCTGCACTTTTCACACTGGAAAATCTAAACTGACATTATTTGATTGCATTAGATTTCAAATAAAGTCTTTAACCTTGAACAAGGCCTCAGTTCTTTATCCATATGGTGAAATGTATGACTTGTAAATGCTGAAAAGTATTATATGGAGATCATAGTGGATCAATACAAAAGTAGATTATACCCAAAAGTTCTGTTTTCTTAAAATCAAGCCTTTTTCATAAGCTTTCAAAATGTAAAAGTCCCTTTAGTGGCTCCCAAAGCTGAGCCCTTACAATGTAACTCAGGTTTGTCCACCGTAACCAAAAAAGAAATGAATATATATATATATTTCCTAATTAAAACATTGTCCCTAATAAGAAAATGACTACAAAAAAAGCTTTTTTTCAAAAGTTTTCAGCCTGTTGTGGTGGCTCAGTTTGGAACGTAACAAGACTCACTATTACTATGATTCTCATAGTATATCTTCAAACCCCAAACCCTTGAACGGTGGAATCAGTAATTCTGAAGAAAGACTGTCAACACCTGAACTGAACACTCAAACAAGTAGATTTAGGCTGAATCCAAATGTCCACCCTCTGTGACATGTTCACTGTCATCACGTTAAGTCTGCAAGGGCAGAGATTTCAAGCTGCTGATAGACAGGCCTCAGGTTTGTTGGAACATTCAAGCTGATCACTGCGGTCATATTCCTCACACAAGTTGATGAATAGTGTCTGCTCATCTGTCCCTGCAGATGACAAGATATAAATCTTATGTATAGCCTTTTTTGGGACTGAACAAAATGATATTCCTACATCTCTATATAACATATAGGCTACACACACTCAAAAATCAAAATGTCTGCAAATAAGGACACAACTATGACTAAATAAAGTGGGTATCACTTACATTAGAGCAGTGGTTCCCAGTCACAGTGGGTTGCGGGTCCATTCTGAATGGACTGCAAGTGACTTGCAAATGTGTCAAGTTTGTAAAAAAAACACTTTATTTTTAGGTGTGGTGTATTTCCAGCACATTGTCTTTATTTTGACGTGCTGCTTCCTGCTGTAGAGTTAGTGACGAATGGACAGCTACTTAGAGAGACTGGAAAAGTAGCTCCATGACATTGCAAAACTCAGGTATGATGATGAATATATTAAACTGTGTGGACCTTGAACTAATGACTCAGAAGATATCTGGAAATCTTTTGTTGTTTTTCAGCCATTTTTTTAGCCTGTTGGGCTGCAATAATAAAATTAGTTTTCACTCTATTCTCTCTACAGCCTATATTTAATACATATATCTGGAACATGATGTGGTTGAATAATATTTCTGACTTACACAACTGAAGCAGCATTTTAATGGACCCAACTATCAATAACTATTTTACACATTCATTAATTGTTTTTTCTTTAGTCAGGAATTGAAAAAACTATGTCACATCTGTATAGCAATGAATTGTGGGTAGTTCAATCAAGGATGTCTGGTTCATTTTGCAGCTAAGTGGACGCTCAGGAAGTCTGCAGAAAGTCTCCTTGAGGCTCCTTGTGGACTGGATAGATTGTGGATTGGGACAGCCCTAAGCACTCCCAGACTCCCACAAAACACCTGAAAAGTCTGCCGTCTTAAAGTGCGGTATAGTCCAGACGTGTGGATTCATCCTTACTGTCCCTTTCACTTTCACTGTCTTTTTCTTTATACGCCCATGACCTTCCCCCTGTCCAGCCAATTCACTGGTTATGAACACCAGATTTTTTTTTTTTTTTTCCAGCACACACATCTAGCGGACCATGAAAAAAAAGTGTATTGGATTAGAACTGCTGACTGCACCTTTAAATTGAAATATGACGTCAAGACAGAATGAGAAGTTGTAATTGAATTAAACTGACACGAAATCCTATTTATTATCAGTGATTTATTATCATATGTGTTCCCTCTTAGAAACACCTGACCTGTTTGATCAAGTAAATGCAGAAAAAAAGTAAAATACATTCAGATAAACATGAGCACCTGTTTTTGTCGATTCTTCCACTCCTCGTCCTTGGCTTTATAGAGCCGCATTAAACGTGACAACACAGTACAAGGCAAGTCCAACCACCCACCTAATTAAACTTTACAGTTGGCAAACAAACTACTATAGACAACAAAATGGTGAACAAGCAGAATAAAGATTCTGTTAAATAAAGCAATGCAGAGCAGTTGAGGACGTCACCAAGAGTAAGGTTTGGACACAATGACAAAGCAGTCATAATGAGGCTGTAATTACGTACCACAGACACCTCAGGGTGAACACTGAAAGGATTTTTTTAATGTTCCCAACTAAAGGCATGTGTTTACGTCTATCATACCTACTCGACATGAGATTTTCTATTGTTTTTATATGTGGAAATCGATCCCATGAAATTAGCTTAGTGCTTATTAATAAACATTAAATACAAAATGGAAAAAACTGTAGTTAAAATGTTTATGGACATGAGAGCACCAGGTAAGACTGACAAATTACAGACATTAACATTTTTGCAAGATAACGGGGACTGCAACACAGCCCATTCAGACATGAAGTCTGTATAATAAGCTTTTTTTCACTCAAACATAAAACCTATACTACCTACTGTATCATGGAGTGGTAGTCTCCATTGGTTAAAAACAGAATGCCCAAAAACAAAATGAATCTATATTACTGAGGGAAATAGTATATTTTTATTATCTTTTTTTTTTTAACTACTTTGACACAGAAACAAAATCCTCCCTGGTTTTCTACATTTCAGTTATGGGTTGAAAATCGCGTAATGCTGAGAATCAAAGGTTTGTTTGGAACATATGAAAACAAGTATTCCTAAAAGCATAGGCTGTTTTTCAAGAGGAGTATCTCCATTTTTTGTTTCAAACTGCCTGGCCTAGATTTAACTCATTAGACATGGACATTGGAGATGTGGAAGGCAGATAACAGAGGCTTTCAAATACAAATACAAAACATAAACCAATCAACTCTATAAACTAGAGCCATTTATGCCAGTCATTCACAACAGGCAGCACAGATGAAAGAAACATACGAGTGGATATATCAAATCTATATTATTTACAACCAAATCTAAAATTGTTTAGTTACTCTACTGATAAATTTTCTACAAAAATTGCATAACAGTGTTGTTCCTTAATGTGACAAACTTGTTCAATATGCATACTCTGCATACTTTCACACCACTTACGAACCAACAGAATTAGTTTTGCCACTGATAAATACCCCTCGACTCCCCACAAAACAAAACAGCCATAGGGAAACTCAATTCAAAGCCCACGCTGCATCCTCCCAGTGATATGCCTGTGGAGAAAGCTACCTGACTGATCGCTCCATGGGAGGGTCATTGAGATCTGCCTCTTTAAGGCACAACCTCACAGTTTCCCATTGAGTTTCAGAGCTGTACTACACATAGAGACCAGTTCTTGGCAGTGACAGTCCAAGCACAAGACATCACTAGGTGCAGTTCAAGTGATCAACAAAACAAAACAAAAAACAAAAAGGTTGTCCTCAAAATTCAGTGAAGCTCGACATTATAGAAAATGTTCCGTCTTGAAGCTGAGAGTAAATCTTAGTGAACCGTTTAGGTGGGGTTTGTCTGAGAGATTTGAGATCACACCCAGTGGTAGGACGCAAATAAAAAGATAGTATAACATAGGAGAAAGTGTTGTCAGTGGGTGTGGCTGTCCTTGCCTGTAATTCACGCCTCCTCAGGGGCTATCAGAGGTTTTCATGGCCTCAGCCTCCTGCGTCTGCCCTAAATCCTCTCCTTTCTTGTGTTTCCTAGCATGCTTGTATTTGTCCACATATGCCTTGACCAGATTGCCCACCTTCACTGGGTTGATCTCCCCACTCTTGCTGTGGCACACCTGATGACCAGAACACAAGATGATTACATTTAAATTCTCATTCAACTGATGACCTCAGAAACAGATATGCCTGAGTTTAATACTCAAAAGTTATTAGGGCTTTACAGGTATACTACGCAGGATTGTCAAGTAGTGTTTGTAAAGGCACTCGCCGGCAAAATGAAAGTAAAAGCCAAACTCATTTGTTGTTTCGCCTCGCTATATTTGCATTTTTCTTGGCACTGAGTCTCTTGGATGCCTGCTGGTTCGCTATCTTTTAGGAAAGCCTCAACCTCACCTGAGTGCTGTAGGCGGGTACACGCCCATAAATGTCCTAACACAGAAAATAGGAAAATACATGCAGAGGGCAGAGACTCTGCAGACACGACACACTTCTTTTGGGTCATAAGTGATGACACAGAGGGATTACTTCTGTATTAGTCTATACATTGTTTTGTTTTTTTCGGAAAATCTTGCATAGCATAGCTCTAAGCAAGTCTTGGCAAGACTTTGAACCCACCTTCTGGACAGCTTTGCGTAGAATCTCTTTGTATTCCTCCTTGTTGATGTCCCTCTTCTGGTAGAAAGGCTTGATGGCGAGCTTCACCTCTTCTATAGCTCTCTCCTGCATGTGCAGCTTCTTCAAATACTGATGGTGGGATTAAAACAAGACAAATGCCATGATATAGTTTGCACATATATTCACAAAATAGGACGGAGTCATAATGCTTACGCAAAACAAAATACAACACAGGACTAATCTACACATTTTGTTTAAAGATTAAATATTCAAAAGCCAGATTCACCTGGTCTTTCCTCGACAAATCCCCCTCCTCTGCCTCTCCTTGTGCACCATCAGGTCTAGAGGAGGTACTGAGCGCACCGGCAGCACCCTTCTTGGAAGGATGACTGACAGCTCCAGTGATGTCCTAGGAAAATCAAGACACAGTATATGCATGGATGTGACTCAACTAAAAGATTACCCAAAGATAGAATAAAAGATAGCTTATATAATTTAGGGCTGCAACTAAAAATTATTTTCTCAATTAATCATTTTGCCAGTATAACATCACAAAACTGAAAATACCCATTATAATTTCCCACAATCCACAGCAATGTATCCAAACTGTTTGCTTTGTTCAACCAACAGTCCAAAATGTTATGTAATACAGGTCTGTAGATGATGTAATGGAAAGAGTCTGGGATTAGTGGTTACATTAAATGTGCAGACAA